CAATTATACTCTGACCGTGTCCGACTTCAGTGAGCTTCCAAAAGTTCAAGAGCAGCTGCTGGCCTCTGTCCAGGCTGTTCCAATTCCTATTACTCCAACTTCACCACCTGTCACCGGTATGTGCATGGCAGAACTTTATAGTACGCTGTGTCTCGTCTTTCTACTTAATGCCCCTCCTTTTCTCTTTTCCTTTTTTTTTTTTACCTTTTTTTGTGAGCAGTGGGAATGTTAGCCAGAACTTAGACTGGTAATGAGGTGGTGAACTGATATGACATTCTTAAGGTTAATGAACGTTATTTATATTTTTTGGCGTTAATGATGCTGTTTCTCCCCCTTCCTAGCTGTTTACACCACACCCAGAAAGGACGTAGTGTTTCTTCTGGACGGTTCAGATGGCACTAGGAATTCTTTTCCAGCTATGCGTGACTTTGTGCAAAGAGTAGTGGAGCAATTCAACATAGAGGCCAACAGAGACCATGTTTCTGTGGTGCAGTACAGTAGAGACGCTGAGGTCCATTTCTATCTGAATAGCTACATGACAAAGGAAGACGTTCTTGACCATGTCAGAGGCCTGAGACACAAAGGAGGTAGACCCCTCAACACGGGGGCAGCTCTCCAGTACGTCAGAGACAATGTCTTTACTGCCTCCTCTGGCAGCAGGCGGCTGGAGGGGGTGCCGCAGATACTGATCCTGCTTAGTGGGGGAAGGTCATTTGACAGTGTCGATGCAGCAGCCTCCTCTCTGAAAGAGTTTGGCGTCTTGATCTTGGGAATAGGATCGAGGGGCTCGGATAGTGGAGAATTGCAGAGAATTTCATACACCCCCAGTTATGCTCTGTCCGTGTCCGACTTCAGTGAGCTCCCAAATGTCCAAGAGCAGCTGCTGGCCTCTGTCCAGGATGTTGCAATGCCCGTCACTACAACTTCCCCGTCTCTGACCGGTATGTGCATGGCAGAACTTAACGAGAGCTAGCTGACAGGCTGTGCTTTGTTGATTACTCGCAGCTTAGGTAGTCAAAGAGGTAGTGAACTAACGTGACATTCTAAAGATGTTTTGAAATGTCCTGGTGTTAATGACGCTGTTTTCTTTTCCTAGCTGATGACGTCATACCCATAAAGGACGTAGTGTTCCTGCTGGATGCTTCAGATGCCACTAGAAATGCTTTCCCAGCGATGCGTGACTTTGTGCAAAGATTAGTGGAGCAATTCAACATTGATGCAAACAGAGACCGTGTTTCAGTGGTGCAGTACAGTAGAGATGCAGAGGTCAATTTCTATCTGAATACCTACACAACAAAGGGGGAGATCTTGAACTCTGTCAGAGGTCTGAGGCATAGAGGAGGGAGACCCCTCAACACTGGGGCAGCTCTCCAGTACGTGAGGGACAATGTCTTCACCGCCTCTGCGGGGAGTAGAAAACAAGCGGGTGTCCCTCAGATTCTCATCCTCCTCAGTGGAGGACGGTCAAGCGATAACATAGATATACCTGCCTCCGCCCTGAAACAGAGCGGGATCTTGATTTTTGGCATTGGCACCAGAAATTCCAGCAGAGTGGTGCAGAGAATTGCCAATGATCCTACCTATGCACAGTCCATCAATGAATTCTCTGACCTTCCCAGTGTCCAACAGAAGTTTATCACCTCCCTCAACAACGTGCTTGGTCAAGTCAAGCCGATGACAACTACTGTGCCGGGTAAGACAGATTCCCGCACGCCTCTAGAAAACAGCACACTGAGCCCTTCATTGCAAAGCGTGCAGTAGACCCTGAACAGTTTATGTTAGCATTGCGTGTGAGTAGAGCCGTGGGAAATTAGGCTACAAAGCCAAGGGCTTGAACTCTAGGCACTGTTAAATTTTAAATTGTTCGTTCATTCACTCGTTGGTTTGCTTATGCAAAGTTTTAGTTTTTTGACCAATATAACCTTTAAATCTAGACCTTATTTCACTGCTTCATATTCATTAAATTTGGAGCTGACAAAATGACGATTTAAAATCAGAGCATAGCTCACATTCACTAAAATACTGGAAAACGCTAATGATCAGTGTTGCCAGACTGGAAATGTCCAAGTATCGTACCAGAAGCTCAAACTGATCGTATTTGGAAGAAAATTATCGTACACGAGTCAAACGTACAGAATACAGCTATTTATCTAAACCAACAACTTTTTGGCACGACCTGCAAATTACCACAATAGATAACTAGGCGTACCGTGTTTACATTGGACGCGAGCAGTGCGACAAAATACTATAGAAACCATTATAATCAGTGACTGTTTGCACTGAATGCGACACGACACGACACATCCCCGACAGTAAACTGATGCCTCGTTCTATTTATGACTTATTAAAATTATTTTTAACACTCGCTTTGTCGCATCCAGTGTAGACAGACTTTAGCTGTTAACTCCACATCTGAGCCGCTGTCATCGGAAGCCTGCGTTTTGCCAGATGTTGAGGGGGTTCTTGCAGTCATGGACCGCAACAGTGCTCAGTGTTGCCAGATTGGAAATGTCCAAGTATCGTACCAGAAGCTCAAAATTATCGTATTTGGAAGAAAATTATCGTACACGAGTCAAACATACAGAATACAGCTATTTATCTAAACCAACAACTTTCTGACACAACCTGCAAATTACCATAATAGATAACTAGGCGTACCATGTTTACATTGGACGCGAGCAGTGTGACAAAATACTATAGAAACTATTATAATCAGTGACTGTTTGCACTGGATGCGACACGACACATCCCCGACAGTAAACTGATGCCTCGTTCTATTTATGATGCATTAAAATGATTTTTAACACTCGCTTTGTCGCATCCAGTGTAGACAGACTTTAGCTGTTAACTCCACATCTGAGCCGCTGTCATCGGAAGCCTGCGTTTTGCCAGATGTTGAGGGGGTTCTTGCAGTCATGGACCGCAACAGTGCTCATTGGCTTTAAAGCAGGGCACCCTCATGCAGTCTTAACACACTCTGAGGTGTGCATGAGCTCATTTAGAGTGTCTGTAATGAGCCGATTTCGTGTATGAATATAGAAGCCATATGATTACAATTACCATCATTTGAATTGTCATAAAATTATGAAATTATC